ATCCTTTTGATATCTTTTCTATAAATGTTTTTCCTGTCCTTTTCACTTAGTATTGTGTTACAAGATCTTTTTGAGTCGAAACTTTCCATGGTTATGTTGTATTTCATCATTGTTGGGTCAGCTATTCCTCTATTATTGGCCACTTCAGTTGGAGAAATGTCCATGTGTAACAAAAGGCAGTTTCTCTCTTTTCCTTGGAAATACACGTGTGCTTCGAATTACTTAAAACTGTTCATACGTGACACTGTAAGGAGTTCCTTTAATGACTTTACGCAAAAACTTTAGCCAAGGAAATCAAAAACTGTGCTCAGTGGTCAGAAAGAAGAATATTAATCAGATTTCATGCTCCAGTTTGCCATATAAGAACAAAAAATAGATAATGTGCGTTTATTGGCACTTTTGAACATTTATTTGTTTGTTGGTGAAAATTGAGAGAGGAGACTGAGGACTCCTTGGGCAGAGTTCCTGACTCAAACTGATGAGGCTGTGCAGAGCAGCAAAAAGAACCAGGATTTGAGACCCAGCTCTGGGTTTGAACAGCAGCTGTTCCACTTAGAAGCTCCCTGACCTTAGGCAAGTACCTTCCCATTCCTGGGATATGTTATGTAAAACATTTAGCATGGTTCTTCCAGAATAGTGTATTGGCTAAGGAGACACATTCTGGAACCAGACCTCCTGAGTTCAAATTCCAGCTTTGCCACTAATGAGCTGGGTAATCTTGGGCAAGTTACTTAACCTCGCTGTGTTTCTGTTTCCTCGTCAGTAGACTAGGGATGAACATAGTTGCCACTTCATAAGGTTATTAGGAGATTTGAGTCCATGCACACAGTGGATTTCTAACCATGCTGGCGCATTGTTGATGCCATTTAATGTTAGCTTTTTTGCTAATACTGGAGGTGCTCAGTAAATGGCATCTGTAACTGGCGTCACTGTTGGGCCTTACTAGAAAATTGTACTGAATGATCCCTGGTGCCCAAGCCTTCTGAAGCAGAAATGGCAGTGAGCCTGCTAGGGTTGCGCATTTGCTCTTTGCCTGGGCCTTTACCTTAAGAAGCGGGACTGTGTGTGTAGCCGCCCTCTTCCCCCAGTGTTCTGCTGTCACAGGGAGACAGTGCGGCTTCTGCCTACAACTCATTCATTTCCCTTAGCATAGAGAAGAGGCAGTAGGCCAGGCACGGTGGCTCACGTCTGTAATCCCAGCACTTTGGGAGGCCAAGGTGGGCAGATCACCTAAGGTCAGGAGTTTGAAACCAGCCTGACCAACATAGAGAAACCTCATCTCTATTAAAAATACAAAATTAGCCAGGCATGGGGGCGCATGCCTGTAATCCCAGCTACTCGGGAGGCTGAGGCCGGAGAACTGCTTGCCCAGGAGGCAGAGGTTGTGGTGAGCCGAGGTCTTGCCACTGCACTCCAACCTGGGCAACAAGAGCAAAACTCTGTCTCAAAAAAAAGAGAGGCAGCAGTAACAAATGGGGCACTACTCGACCTCCGCACTGGAGACCCCACTAGCCTGGCTTCCACAGCCTCTTCCCCCCACATTACCGCAGTGATGCCCCAGGATCCTCTCTGACTCCCCCTTCTCCCTCATACCCCATGTGTGGTCATTTGCTACTCCTAGTGCTTTTGTCTTTAATATGCTCATCCCCACTGCACCCCAGCTGCAACCCTCCTGCCCTGGCCTGGGCTGTGGCACCAGCCTCCTCACTGATCCCCCCTCCACCAACCTAACTCCTCCTTGTAACCAAGAAGACTACCTAGTGCTCCCAAGCCAAGGACAGAAAGGTCTCTGTTTGCCTCCAGGCTGGATTCTGGGACTCCTGTCTCTTCAGTAGTAGGTGTGCTCTCTTCACACTAGGGGTGTGCATTAAGAGGGCTCCTCCCATGGAGTGCCTCAGGCTGAGGGCTGCCCCCTGGCAGCAGGAGCAGATAGGGTGCTGCAGCGCTGCCTGCGCTGCCTTAAGAAGCTGAGACAGGTATTAAGAGGGTAAGATTATTTAATGTACAAAAGGATTTTTCCCATCAGGAAAGATTCCCCTACAGGTTCCTTTAAATAGTGACTCCTCTAGGCAGGCGAGTGTTTTACAGATCATTAACTACTTGACTGAAAGCCTACAGGGCAGAGAAACTTAAAACTAAAGTGTTGGAAGCCCCTGCCAATTACAGATCAATCCAAAATGAAGATAAAGTAGCTCTGGAACTAGAAGTCAGTGGGCAAATGTGATTCGATTCAGAAAGAATCTGATTCACATGCAACTTTTTTGGAACACACCAGTTGTTTAAATGATATTCCACCTGTCTGCCCATCTTGAACCTATTGCATTCATCTCCCACATCTTCATCCCCAAGCCTCATTCTTGGGGTTCCCCTCTGTGAACAGTGACTGCACAATAACCCCAGGAAAGGGCGTCATTGGGAAAGTGTTCTGTGGCTGTGCAGAGCTTAGGCAGTTGATGCAGAGATACAGCCGGTAATGGATGAACTATACGGTAACAATTTGCAGATAAAAATAATAGAAGTTAAAGTGTACTTTACATGATAAAAGAAAGATGAAAGAGGACGAGAGTCTGTTACATCTGAGATGGTTACAAAAGTCCTGCTTTGTGAAGTAGGCTCTGTTGAAAAGATTGATGCAATGGGGAGTGACCTTGGCTTGGAGCAGGAGCTGGTGATGTATGTATGAGCATCCCTCTGCTAAATGGACCCAGATTTGTAGCACTAATATACATGGGAGCCCAGAACCAAACTCAGTACGGCAATAAATCAACAGCCACTTTGGGTGTCATTTCTGGTTTATATTCCACTATTGTTCTATCACTTTAATTCATGTCACTATCATCTTTTCATCTGGAACAGTTTTATATAATTTTCCAGTGGAGTTACCTGACAAATCCTATCAAATTAACAAGGTACATTAACAGTATTGACTGACTACGGCTTCAAGAGTTGTAGGGCCATAGAACAAAATTTTAAAACCACGTCTCTGGTAATGATTTTTTTCCCGTTCTTTCTGAGAAAAGAATGTGGAGCAGGGTTATTTTCACATAAGAGATATGCACATTTATTCTGCTCTACTCATTTTGACTTTTATAAATGTCAAGAAGCAGAAGAAAGGGAACACACACACACACACACACACACACACACACACACACACGCTACCAACAACCATGGCTTCAGTACTTTTCTTCTTTCAGGGAACTATAGAAATGTCCAGATCTTTAACAATTAATGACCAAATTGAAGGCAAGAGTGTAACTGGGTAGTCGTAATCTATTTTAACTGAAATGTAATAAAGCTGGTCTCCTGATACATTCTCACCCCCCCTGAAATCATCTAGACCTGAACATCCAGAGTCAGCTGGACTTATGACATTATGCCTAATTGAAATATGGTGTTCCTGAAATAGGTCTAATGACAAATTCCAGCATTCGATTAGTAAAAAATACCAATTGTTCATCTTTACCAAAGACCACACGTACTGACCAGGACTAACAGCCATCTCTGCCTCCCTGGAGGCAGTGGAGGAGCCTCTACTATAGTCTGTCTGCACACAGTCTTCTGCCTTTGTCTAGCTGGTATTTGGGATTTATTTATGCATAAAATAAAATACAAATGAATGGAGTGTGTAGCAGACCTAATCACTAGGATTTTGTTTATATATTTTTTCTTTTTTAATTTTAAATTTGCCGTCAGACTGTGGTTGGGGAGTGTGTGTGTGTGTGTGTGCACGCGCGCGCGTGTTTTATTTGGGGGGAGGTTAATTGAATTGTTTCTTTTATCTACTGCTGCATTTGGCTTACTGAGTTTTCTGACATTTTGCTCAAAAATTTCGGAGTGTGATTTGTAGGATAAAATATGTTAACTGTGTCTTTTCTGTTTCACTATGTACTTTTGGTTATTTTAGTTATTTCGTATATCTTCATTTTGCTTTTTTTCACTTTGACCCTGACCCTTAAACTATGGCCTAAAAATTAATTACTTTTCAGGTTCAATATGGGGCCCATTCTAGAAGGCATGTTAAAAGGTTTTTGTCTCACTTCATGAACAGATTCGTGAATTTTCAGCGTAAGAAGAAAAAGAGCGCATCTAGCCTAGATCACGTGTGCCGGGCTATGCATGTACTCTCTGTAGTACTGGGAAAGCAGTTACTATGCATTTCCACACTTCTCCCAGGGCCCTTCCATACCTGACATTAACTTTATTCCCGGTCACCATACAGCGTGTTGCCTTTTAAGCTCTGAAAAGGAAATCTGAAGTACCAGTGTTTAACATTCTGGATTCCTGTTGTAAAGTCTTTGTTGCATAAAGCTCACACCCAGTACCGAGTCTCCCTCAGTGGGGGAGCGGTGACCTCTGCAGCCTGAAGCCAGGCTTCAAGACTTGAACTTGGAAGGTTTTATGTAAAGGACCTTTTAATCCTCTCGTGACTTTCCTTAAATATAGGTTGGATAATTATTTAGTGTCACAGAAAGGAAGAGTTATTTTGTTCCCCTATTTTTGGTGTATAAGGTTGTTTCAGATCAGAAACTGTACATTAGTAGCTTAGCTATTTATTTAGCTAAAGGGATGTTACAGCTTTATCTGTCCACCCCAGATCTTCTTCTTAAATGAGAACAACAGCAAAAAGAGCACTGATCAAAACCGTTTTTTAAATAAAACTTATGTCATTGCAATATAGAGGTAATGTATGGTTGTGAATAGGTTCTCTGTGTTGGAGCTACATTATGTCTCAGAAGGCTTGTTTCTTAATACCCTCTCACACAGTTTGGGGGTTCCCCCACCCCCAGCTCACCCACCCAGGAAACCAGACTGTGCAACTTCTGCATGCCATTTGGACTGTCTCCATGTTTGTCTCGGGAAGCCCATGGCATTCCCCAAAGCCCTAAGAAAGAACCTCATGTTCAGATTTATAAATAATAAATCAAGTGATTACCCTGAAATCACTCACACCTTCTACTTCTTGTGGTTTCCTTTTTGTCCTCCCCTTGGCCTTACAGGTATCTCTGGAGACAAAGTAGAGATAGACCCTGTTACGAATCAGAAAGCCAGCACTAAGTTTTGGATTAAGCAAAAGCCCATCTCAATCGATTCTGACCTGCTCTGTGCCTGTGACCTTGCTGAAGAAAAAAGCCCCAGTGAGTAGTCCCTTTTATTTATGTCTCCTTTCTCTCTTTCCCCTCTCTTCCTTTCTGTGTGCTGGGTGCCAGGAGAATATATTGCCACCGTGTCCTTTTTTCCTTGGGTCTGTTTTAATTCATTACCAGAAATTTCTTTTAATCAAACGGGATTGTATTATGGTGCCCAGAGCCTGACATGTGCCCCCATCCTGTTCGGTCTTGATGGCAGCAGAGAACCTTGCAGCTCACCTCCTGACCTCAGCAGCCCAGCCCTGGGAGCTAGGGGCACAGAGCCAGATTTCTGCTGGGAATTTGCACTCACCACAGCCCTCATTTCACTCTGTGCTCCCTTCCCTTTCCCATTTGGGGAACTTGACCAGTCAGACCTGGACCTGCCTTCCTTCCCTGTGAGATAGAGGGAAGCTGGGGATTTCCCAAGGTGGCGGATGCCTAGATTTAGATGTATCCATCATGCTGGAAGTGTCAGCACCCCCGGATTATTGGCAGCTGTATGACCTACCAGCTCATAATTAAACTCTTGCCTGGTCCTACAGAAGAGATCACTGCTGGGTTGGCATTCCTCCACTTAAATTATCAAAGTAGATACAGTCCAGTTATGTATTTTGGCATATTATACTTTTGCAGTTAAGTAATTGGGTGTAGCATTTAGATTAATCACTTAATCATTTTAGGACTCTGGTCCTATCAAGGGGCAGAAAGGACACATAGATCACACTGAAATTCCTCTGTGGAAGAAAAAATGTTAAACTATATAAGCATTTGTTAGTTGCCTAGAGAATGCTATAAGATAATGGTCCTCAAAGTCTGGTACAGACCAGCAGTATCTGCAGAGCCTGTTTAAAATGCAGTTACCTAGGGCCCACCCTAGTGGATTGTGATTCCATAACTTGGAGTCTGGACTGAGCATCTAATTTTTATTAATCCCCTATGTTCAGTGTTCACTAAATTTGAGAACAAATATTATAAGGAATTACTTACTCAAAAGGAACAATGAGAAATGTAAAGGCCAGCAAGTGTTTATAATACGGTTCAAGTTTTTGAGATAACACTGACTAAATAGGGGCCTGAAGAGCACTGAGCCCCTGAAGGGGGCAGATAGACTGGGCACTTGCCACATTGCTTCATTTATGGGTGGGTGTTTAATTTTTCGTCAAACTCTGCTGGACTACGTATTCAACTCATTCGCCTACAGCTTGGCGAAAAGGGAGCACTTAGGGGGACACAGGGAAAGGAGGAAGGCCATCCCACACCCTTCCTGCCATTCCTGTCATCCCAGTGAGGCCTCCAACCCTGCAAGAAGCTGAGAGAAAAGTGCCTGCTGCTGGGGGGAACTTGCCTCAAGGTTGCTGGATTCCCTCTGCCTTTTGATAAACATCTTCTTCCTAATCCCGCTCATTCAGTTTGTCGGCCAATAAAGATGTCATTGTTCTAGCATCTTTCTCTCCAAGAACTGAGGATGCTTTGAAAAGTAACATTTTATAAATTCAACATGTCTCTGAGAATTGAAAGGCAATCACTTCTGTGTTGCATAAAGGGATAAGCTGGAGTGGAAACGTTAGGGAAAGAACTAGATGCAGGATTCAGGTTTTTTCCTTAACAAAGAGGCTCACTGCACCAGTAATACACTGCCTAAGTCCCAGTCACCTATAGCATTGCTTTTTAAACCATGTTCCTCAGAGCTCTAGGATCTCAGAGGGACCTCGGGTATGGGGGAGGTAGGGGAGGACTGGGCATAAAGGCCTCCCCTTGAGCCAAAGGAACTCTACTTAGCTGTAGACACAAAGTCTTCCTATATTGCCCAGGCTGTTCTTGAAATCTTGACCTCAGGCCATTCTCCTGCCTCAGTCTCCCAAATCCCTGGGATTACAGGCGTGAGCTACCACTCTCAGCCAGAAAAAACTATCTGCAACAGGCTTACAGAATAAAATGCAGACTGTTCAGCATAGCCTTTGCAGACATTGACAAGCAGCTGACCACTCTAGTCTCATAGCCCATGTTTCCCATCTCATCTTTGGGCTGTGGTCACTGTAACTACTTGCACATTCTGTGCTTCTGCTGTTCCCACTGCCTGGAATACGCCTTTTGAACCTGACCCCCTCTGACTTACAGACATTTCCACCTCCCCGTACTCGGCCTGCTCATTTTTCAAGACCCAGCTCCAGTGTTAGGCTCTCTGTGTTCACTTTGCCCCCAGGAGTTTGCACATGCACATGCCTCTAGGAATACACCACAGTGCTGTATTTATCTGTTGGAGACCCACCCCTCCCTTCCACCTCCATCTCCATACTGAACTAACTGACCCAGGAACTGGCTTCCATGTCCTCAGTCCCTAGCACAGAGCCTGCAGAGTCCTTCTCAGTGAATGTTTGTTAACTTAAAACTAAACTTAACGAAGCCAGGATTTAGAAACATTATGTGAAAAGGTTATTTCACATAATTTATGTTGTAAAGTGCCCAAACAAAGATGTATTAAATGAATCGGCTTGATGCTGTGTGTTTTATGATTTCCAGTATCTTCATCAAATTAATTCAGTGACTCAATCTAAGAAGTTCATCCTCAGACCATAGAATTAATCTGTGGGGCGTCTTCTCTTTCTTTATTATTTAAAGGATTAATGATAACCCTTCTTATCTTTTGTGTCTGTTGAACCTTTGAAAAAAGTTATTTTAACATCGCTAAAGAAATGAAAGTCACTATATTTCATAAGTTTAGCCTGTGATTTTTATCAGCATAGTGATGTATGTTTGTAGCCGAGTTTACATCAAAAATTATTCTTGGGGCCTTCTTGAATGAATTATGGCAAAGAGAGAGAGTCTAGAAGTAGATAAGGTTTTTGATTTCTGCAATATATTTCCTTTTTCATGTTTTTATCTCTGGTAACACAAGTGTCTTGCTGAAGACCAGAGCGTGTGACCAACTGGAATAATTTAGTTGTGAAAACAGAGTAGACGTGTTATTAAACAGCTTCTTTACAAAAAGACATTAAGTGTAGGGAGGATAATGTAGTTGTCCCCAGTCTTATTTGAGACATGTTTGTCAGAATTTTGAACAGAAAAGAAATGGTTTTTAAAACCTTTGACTGTGGCCGGTTTGCAGTGTTTATTGAGAAAGCCGCTGTCAAACCATTAATTTGGTCGTCATAAGGCACAGAACTCAAGTTTAATTGATGCCATATCCAAAAAGTGTGTGAATAGCTGACTTGGCAAAGGGACTGAGCATTTGAGTGGCTGCAGGGAAATGCATAATTACACATATTGCGGGACCGGAGAGACCCAGGCTCAGAAGCTGCGCCTCATAAACAGCAGTTCCGTGACTCGCTTTCCATTCCCCTTGACTTCTCCCTCTTAGGCTGGGTTCTCAGAGGGAAGATTTATGGCTCTGTCCCTGTGAGTGTTTAAGGACTTGAACTTAATGACTAGATAGATACATGCCTAAAAAATTGCATGTGTAAATTTGGATTCTTAAAAGAGTTATTTGAGAAAATGTGTGGATCACAAGCCTTGAGAAATTAAGAGTAAATTCTGCCTTTCTAGATTTAAGGGGGAAAAGAAATCATACTGCCATTATTATTTGAATCAGTGATTCCTCTGTCAGATTTTGCCACTCCTTAGGACATCTTTTGCTATTTTGAAAGATGTCATAAGCCCCTAACAGGTGAATTGATTATAACTGGTCAAGGATATATACAACACATACAAGAAGAGAATGTTTCCATATCAGAAACTACCTTGTTTAAATTGTCTTAGGGAAATACTTTTCCATCCTTATATACATCTAGATATGGTTTTTTTGTTTTTAAGAGACAGGGTCTCACTATGTTACCCAGGCTGGACTCAAACTCCTGGGCTCAGGTGATCCTCTCACCTCAGCCCACTGAGTAGCTGGGACTAGAGTCATGTGCCACCATGTTCAGTTTAGACACAGGCTTTGAATGCTATGGCTCTCTTTTAAGCACTAGCCTCAAATTCCTACCCTGAAACAAAAGCAAGGGCTCTTTCTGTGAAGCTGGTACCCATCAGAGACACTCAGGCTGTATTTCTGAACCAGACTCAGCTATGCCAGATCTGGGTTCATCATAAGAAGGTTATGCACGTTTAGTCTTTAAAGGAAGCAGCCTATCATTAAGAAATCAGATTTAAACCTTAATAAAGTAGCTGTCGTCTTTATAGCTGAAAAGAGTGCTGTATCTCAATTAAGTATAGATCATATAAAATCTTAAGGAAGCAACATAATGGAGGTAACCTGATTACATTCTCTTGGAATAGTATAATTCAAAGGAAATCTGATTCTGTTCATGCTGGTTATATTAGGGGATTCTTGTTTTGTTTTGTTTTTTGTCCAAAACACCGTTTGGATACAAGATAGGAACTCTTTGGGGTTAGGAGTTAATGACAACTGCAGGAGACTGGTAAACCCTAGTAACTAGAACCTGCTAGATATTGGAGATGAGATTCAGTTAAGGCTAGGAGTTAAATGAGCTGGGCTTACTGCTGACCTACCATTTAAATGAATCTTTCTTTTCATAAGTACTTGACAAGATCTGTAAAGTAGTGTATTTAATTTACTAATTAAATTAAAGCTACTGAATAATGATTTGTCCACACTGATTTAGCTTAAATAGAAAAGATCAGCATTGTTGTGATCTTCAGCAACCTTAATGGCCAAGCCAGTTAGACACAAAGGCCTCTTGTGTTTTATAGGTCAGAAGGACATAGGTAAGCCCAGGCTGTAATTGAATTGCCTGCACTGCACCCTGCAGTCACAGATTTCCTTTGGCTTTCCATTCCATTGTTGCACTGGGGCTTAAGAGAATGTTAACGCGGTAATAGGCACAGGGCCTTCCCCATTATACGTCTTGCTATCGAGCGGTTCTGCATGACTAGTTAAAGAAGATGGCAAGAAGATTAATGAAAGCAAGGCTAATACAGAAGGGGGTACTTTTGCAAGACTTCTACCGAGGAGATATTAGAGCTGAACCAGAGCTTGGCTTTTTCTT